GAAGAGTCAAAAAAATAAAACAAAAAAGGTTTGTCTCCCCTCCCCCCAGGAGGCAGGGGGAGCCAGACCTGGGAAGATGAGAAAAGTCGCTCTGGAGATCCTCCAGTGGGCCCCTCCTGCCTGGATGTGCTTGCTCCTGTTTTCCAAGCTTATGACAGTCTGAGGTCCCCGGGGGGTCACGAACAGTTTATGCTCAGTTGCTCACCAGAAAGTTGGTGGTTTGAGCCCAGCCAGTGCACAAAAAGCCTGGAGATTGGCTTCTGTAAGGATTACAGCCCAGGAACCACCCCACCACCCACCACCCCCAGCTCCATCCTGCTCTGCAGTACCTGGGTCATCATGCATGAGAAGGGACTTGAAGACAAGCTCTGTGTGTGTGTGTGTGTGTGTGTGTGTGTGTGTGTGTGTGTGTGTGTGTGTTTCTCTGGTTACAGAGGGCAGTAAGTATCTGGTTCTTCATCTACAGGACCAACAGGACTCACGCAATCATTATGCATCTAGGGGTGTTGAAAGTTTGTTTGCTTTTTCCTGACAGGGTCCATGTATATATTTTTCTCACTGGTTGCTATGAAATAGCCTAAATTAAGTGATTTGGCCTGGATTTGGGGATTCCAGGAAGCATGAGGAGTGTAGAAGGACTGCAGGAAGCATCGGGTCCAGGCTGGCCAGTGGAGTTATTTCACTCCCAGCGGCCACACGTTTAAGATGGTTGGTTTGGGGCGGAAGGTGAGTGAGCAGGAGTCCGAGGCTCTAGCTCAGGGGAGAACATGTGCTCTGTGTGATCAGCAAAAGACCCCGTTGCTGTGCCATCCGAAGCCTGGTCGAATCTCCTCGGCTCATCCATGGGCAAACTGTGACCCCGAGGGTGGGGGGTGGGAGGTGGGGGGTGAGGGGTGAGGTGGCTGGACTAAGATCACACATCACACAGCATGTGGTGAACATGCACAGTAAGCTCAGCTAATGTCCCGGACCCTGCAAGCCTGCTGCCTTAGGAATATCAACAAGGTGCTGTTTTGCCACCTCATGGAGCACCCCATGCACCACAGGACAAAAGGCTGCCAGGTCCCAGGTCCTCCTCATGATCAGCTGAAGACTGAACCACCACAGGGCCGTCGCTACTTGGTTTCTGAAGTGGATGCCAGGCCTTTCTTTCTAGGGCGCTGTTGTCTAAAAGGGCTGGCGAAGCCCTTGCCGTTTGGAAGGCAGTGCCTTCACTGACAGACAGGTGCTGGCTGCCAGTCCATGAGGGACCCTCCGCTCCTGGAAGAAGAGAAGTCGGCAGAGCTTTCACCAGTGCCCCGTTCACAGCAAGCACGGACTCTTGGAATGGACGTGAGCCATTCAGAGTTCCCTTTCAAGGAGTCAGCACCTGAAGCCGCCAAGCATTTGAACACTTTGATTCTTTATTCCTGTAAAGTGGACAAGGGTTCAGACTTACTCCAATTCTGGCCCCGGTGCTCCCGAGCTGTGCAAACGTCAGAAAGGCTCGGGCCCTCCCAGCTCCTCCCAGGATGATGATTTTTAGCCGAAATACTATGTCCGGCTGTACTCTCTCACCCCTTTCTAAATTCTAACAAAGGTGCCTGCGTTTGAACGGTAAACTTCTCTTCTTGGAGCGTTATTATGAAGACAACGGCAAGAAAGTTCTGTAGTATTTATTCTCTGGGCATCTACTGCTCACAGGATTTCCCGGAGGAGGTACAATAGGAGGGGTCTTCAAAAAGCGTGTGGAAATTGTGAATGAAAAAGTAATGAAGCGTTCCCATAAACTTTCCGAAAACACTCTGGAATGCAAGCCAAGGTCATTTATCTCGGGTGAACCCCAAAGGACCATTCTACCTGGCCTGAGAGGGTCACTGAGTGGGAATCGACTCCCCGGCACTCAGTCTGGCTTTTGGTTTTGGACAGCTTATTGTATTTTTTAAAACTCCGGTGTAAGAAGAGTGGACGGTACAGGTTGTCTTCTGCTTTCTAATGAGCCCTCAGTGCTGTCGGCTAGTGAGCTGACTCTGTTTCCCCGGCACCGCCTCCACAGCACTGACTGAACCTGCAGCACTGAGGCAACCAACTGCAGAGATCCAAAGCACTCCAAGGACCCTTAGTCAGACGTCACGGCCACATTTCTCTACGTCGCCCGATAACGCAGGATGCCTCCGCTGCGCAACTCCTCCAGCTCTTTGCCCATCCTGAGCGGCACATTCTGTCCCAGGATTGTTGGGGTCACGTGGGCTGGCTGAGGTCACCACATTCCAGTCCTCTCCGTCCCCTCTCAAGACAATCCAGGACATGGAAGACTCAGGGAGTTGCAGCAGCTCCCACTTGTGTAAGCGTGTACTGCCTACACGTGTACTGCCTACACGTGCCTTTTTCTAGTCGACCACCACTCCATTCGGCCTGAGAAACTGAGGTTCCAAAAAACATCCTTGGGGATTACACATCTAGTAAGGGGCAGACGGGGTAGGGTCGCCAGATGCTAGGCTCAAATTTTACAGCACATCATGTCACACTG